AAAAAACGACACAAAGGATTTATAAAGTGGAGTTGCAGTAGGAGAGTGAGATTCATAGATTTTTTTTTCTATCAAGACAAAGCAAAACAAACAAAGTCATGTTGGCTGGATGAACCCAGCACTGTTCAGTGACATCACAACATTGCCGTCTCTCCTCCCTCCCAAGTAATTCTACACTCACGCATCTCTTAGGCAGTTTCTGCCACAGAAATACATCCTTTAGGCAAGCCTCACCTTCTTCACCTATGGATGTGAGAGGGCCTGTGTGTGGTAGCCATCTTCATGATCCTAGCCTCTGCAGTCTCAGGGCCATAGTTGCTAAGCAGGTACTGAGCCATTAACATGCTTGTCTCTTTGTGGGTAGGTAGTGAGCATGGCATTTAGGAGTCCAGAGATTTCCTAAAGTGGCTTGTCACCATATGGACATCTGACGGACTCAAATCACTGGAGACCAAAGCATATGGGTGACCATGAGCTATTCCTTCAGCGGCTCTGGCCCTTGCCATCAGAGCCAACACCAGTGCGGTATCCATGATGTATAGCCCTTTCCCTAAAACCAGAAGATGCTTTGCTCCAACTCCAGTTCACCTTTTATTTTCTGCCCGGCACTGAGCTAAGAAGCCTTAGGAAATATGTTGTCTCCTTGTAAAGAGATTCCTACGACACTACTAAAAAAATATGCATAGCAAGCTTCATGCTAATAGCTTTCACTTATGCTTGCCCTTAATGATGCCCAAGCTCTTCCAGATTCATTATGAGCCCTCTCTGCTTCCCCTTTTTATTACTGTGCTGTCTATTTTTTTTTTTTAATTAGCAAGGCTTTGGATTCAACATGTAACCTGATGGGTAACTTAAAAGAAACACTTGTAGAGAGTTCTTTTCTGTACAAGGTCAAGATGGTCCGCCTCATTGTTTTAATGGCTTTTGTGTTCCTCTGAACCTTATTTTGTTTTCTTAAAGTGCATAGAAGAGTCATATGTTGGTGTTCCTGGATTCATCATGATTAAGAAATGGCGTCTAGGGTGCTGACGCACATGACAACCAAGCTGGAGGTTTTGTGTCTCAAGGGTGTGCTTGTAGAAGACGAATGAGGATTTCTGAGATAGCGTGTTAGCCTGGGGGCACTTCTATAGCAGACATTAATGGCATCCCTCAGCTTCCGGTACTTCCATGTTAGTCTAATCTAGCAGCTAATGTCTTTGCCTTCCTTTGATTCTTTTTGAGCTCATTTTCTGAACTTGTCCTCTATCTTTAGCCATTAACCAGAACCTCACTGATTCCAGCCAGCCAAGGCGGGAATCACTCCTGAGCCTACATATAATGGTGATAAGTATCCAGACTCAAGGCCTCACCTGTCCTATGGTCTCCGACTATTGACATCAGAACATGATTCCAGTGACAAGCCCGTAGTCCTTCCTGCATCCATGTTCCTGCGTTTGGTTATTAAAGCACATATTCACTTAGTGATTGGAGGCTTCTCAGAGATGCATTTCCAAGATGCCCTTATCCATTGCTTGCTGAAAAAAAGAAAAATGTTTTCTTTTTGTGCATCCACTCCCCTAGATAATAACATCTGCAACACATTTTCCATTTTCCAGTACAGGATAAGTTCACTCTGAAATCCAGGTGTGTGGCCCCGAAGTCTCTCTCTCTCACTCGCTCTCTCTCGCGCGCTCTCTGGTTACTGAAGAGCCAGTTTATTAACCAAAGCCCAAGAATGGCATATATTGCTTCTCTCATCCATGAATTAAGTCAACAAGCTGAGCGACGACTATGGCTTTTCTTCCTAAGATGCATTTAGCGCTATTATCCCACAAACAGATGTGTCTTTTCAACCTTTCTTCTTTCCTGGGAGCTCAGGGCTTTTGCTTAATTGTTTGTTGGTAAGTTGCAACTACTTCAAAAGGTATTTCTGAGCACACGTTGGTGTGCCGGCACACTGAGAGCCCGGAGATATGAGCACAACAATATTGGGAATGCAGCCCGCCGACTCCCTCACGTCAAGCACCAATTAGTTCCCATTCTCTGACAGCATGTGCTCCGCAGCCAGCGCAGTCATTCTCGGCGCTTTGATTCTAGGAGTTTCTGGAACACCTGGAATTTACTTGAACACGGCAGCATGGGGAGTGTGACAGGCAAGAGGCGTTCCACAGACAGTCAGTAAGTGGAGTTAGACTACAGAGGCAGGGGTTAGAGTCCCTCCACACTAGTATTTTGAATAACTAAGCCCATTAGCCAGTATTTCACTGAGCACTTCCCTTGATCAATAAAAAGAACTATTTACAAAGAATCGATATCTAAAGCACATTGGGCATCTGCTTTGGCTTTTGTCATTCCCCGGTGAGCGCTAACAGAGAAAACTCTCACTGTTGTACTTCTGAAGGGCCCCAGAAGAAGCTGGCAACTGAATCATTATTTTTTTTTTCTTTTTAAAAGTACAACGAGCTCATAGGTCACCTTCAAAATATGGTACATACTTTCCCAGGAGTGGAGCACGGCGGGATCAAATGACTGAGAGGGCGGCAGAGGAAATAAAATGATCACTCAGCAGGATGAGGACTGTGCTGCTGGCCTCACTGGTGTCTCTGCTCAGAGCAAGGTCATGAAAGCTCAGTGTGAGCCAAAGCTGTCCACAGCAGAGAGCACTCGCGGGCATGATCCTGGCACACGCCGGGGCCTGCCTGACAGCTGCGTGCACTTCAGCGCAGAGCCTCACTGAATGACCTGCCCAGTTCTGTACAGCAGAGCTCGCCCTGTAATTTCCCACTGAGTCAGGAGGTCAAGCGAGAACTCCACTGATGTTTTTAAATAGTCTTGGCTCTGATAAAGCATGGCGGGTGGAGATTTTGGAGTGTGCCCATGTGGGCTGGCAAGAAAGTGCAGGTCTCCTGTTACTGGGGAGCTGGAAGAGGCTTCTTCAGCTGCCTCCAAGAGACACAGACAGGTACGATCTGTTTGCAGTGGTTCAAGAGGGGGTGCATGTAGATGTTAGTGACAAGAGGAGTCTGATCATCTTCAGCAGGAACTGGCTTTCTTCTTCTGTGGGTGGGAAGACTGGCATGGGAGTTTGTTGGGGGGAAAATCGATGGCCCCTATAAGTAAGTTTTGTGGAAACTCCCTCCCCCTTGAGCATCTCTTGGGAAAAGAAGAAAGACAGCTACACACAGCAAGGGCCTTCACTTGGAACCTGGCAGCCAGCCACTGCCCAGTGCTTTATTGCCCTTTTCATTCAAGAAGAGGGGAGAAAGCAGAGGTGCTGGGGATGGATGTCTGAAGGACAAGGAGAAGTTGACTGATAGCCCAGCTGTGCTCCATGCTTGCATCACTTGCTGCCGAGGCTTTGGGGCTCGGGGCAAGCGACACCAGGGTCCTGGTGTTCTTGCTTCATAGGGATCTCGGCTTAACATGCATGGTGAAGTCCTGTGAGAGTCCCTGTCTTCACCCAACCCTCATCTACTTGGTAGAATGCACAGGCTGTCATCTCTCTCAGAGCCCTAGCCCCAGATCCTGGCTGGAGAGGAGGCTACAAAAGCTTAATTCAGTTGAACTAAGACCATTAATATGAAATTAACTATAAAAGTCTTGCCATCATCTCAGATCCTAGATCTTGCCATTTGTTTGTTGTTTACTATTTTCTATAAACTGTATGCCCAGAAATCGGAGCAATCTGTAATGGGTGGGCCTGCAGGTACTTGCCACATTTTTGTCTTGACTGCATGCATGTATGGCACCATGTGCGTGCCTGGTGCCAGAGGAGGTCAGAAGAAGACATCAGATCCCCTGGAACTGGAGTTACAGTTCTGAGCTACCATATGGGTGCTGTGAGCAGATCCTTGGTCCTCTACAGCAAATGCGGCACCATCTTTCTAGTCTCTCCATTCTAACTCTTTAATAATGACACCCTGAGGCACCTTGCTGCCATAGTGACAGTGAGATCCTGTGTCCCAAGCTCATGTCATGGCTTTCCCTTGCATCCATTTGGCTAACAGCTGTACCGACTTAAAACCAAATCAGAGATCTGCTTACTTGCCCTTTAGGTGCTTACATGTCCTTAGGTGAAACTCAAGTAGCAAACAGTCCTCTTGCCCAAATCTTTAAAGGGCAATGACTTTGTGTGTGTGGCTTGTCCTTACCATCTCCTCCCGCCCACCTTTCGGCTGCTCGTCCCTAGGGCTCAACCTATCTCTAAGAAAGAAAAAGGAAAGTAGAATGGGGTTCCTGGCCCATGGGCTGGTCTCCAAAACAACGAAGCACGCCATGGACGTTTGGTAGGAGAGAGCTGGGAAAGAAAGCTGAAGCTTACATTGGAACCATTGAGTTTTATTGTTGGAAAGCTATCATGCCATCCCTGTCTTCACCAGCACACACAGCACGAATAGCCCGATAGGCGTCTTAAAGAAAAAGTTCCTACGATCATTTCCCCCAAAGCAGCTTTGCCTGCTTTGGTCCCCGACAGCACAGAGCCAGCTCTACTCTAACCTTTCATCTTGGAAGCTTGCTTGGGGCCAACATAGGAACTTGTCTTGCTGTTGCCATCTCGCTGCGGGTTACTGTTTGGAGTGGAAACCACCCAAAATTAGACAGTTTCTGTCCTCCGCACTGAACAGTGCACATAGTACATAGAAATATCTATATGTATATTTGATCTTGGACTTGGGTTGAGTTCCACTTAGCATCCACTTTACTAAGAACTAAATCTCACTCTTAAAAGAGTCATTTGTTCCTTTTGGTAAAAACCAAAAGCCTGCTTCAAGACACATTTTGAGTGAGATGAACATATTGTCCTTGGTCGGGGATGTGGGGTATATACTAAGGGCAGATAAGGTTAAAAGCAAACATCTCACCTGGTCAGGTGCTCCACAACCACATAGCCAATAGGAGCCCAGCACTGACAGACACTAACATTAGAGAGCTTAGACTAGGGAAGCGTCCCAGCTAACAGAGTCCACGTGAGACAATTCACATCCGTGTGTCTGATGTCCACGCCTCTGCCTTCCACATCAGCTGTGCTTTTTGTCCTTCAAGTAGCTGTAGAGCATCTCCAAACCCCCCTCTACCAGCTCCGGCAGGGGCTTGGAGAGAGGATTATGGGAAATGTGTAGCCCTTTGTCCATGGGGTTCCATGCAATCCTCCCTAGTCTACACAGCAGGTAGAGTTCATCCGGAAGGGTCTGGATGTCATTGTTGTTCAGGTTCAGCAGCTCTAGGCTGGTGACGAGACAGAGCGACCTGGGGAAGGAGCGGATGTTGTTGCTCTCCGCGATGAAGATCTGCAGGCTACCCAGGCACTGGATGCTCTCGGCGATGTTCTCCAGGCGATTGGAGCCCACGTGCAAGAAATCCAGCTCCTTCAAGGAGAACACACAGATGGGGATGTGAGCGAAATAGTTGTTGCTCAGGTTGAGCTTCCGTAGTCTGGAGAGGTCTGCAAAGCTGGCTGGGAGCTGGGACAGGCAGTTGTGTGACACGCTTAGCACTTCCAGGTTCCTGCACAGGCTGAGCTCAGCCGGCACCTCCACCAGGCAGTTCATGTTGAGAAACAGGACCTTGAGGCTCTGCAGGAGGCTGATCTCTCTGGGGAGACTCTTGAGACGATTCCCGCACAGGTTCAACACCACAATCTGGGTCAGCCTGCCCACCTCGGGAGGGAGGACCCGCAGCTGGTTGTGGGACAGATTGAGTTTCTGGACTTCCAGCAAGCCCCACAGAAAGTCTGGGATGTCTGTCATTCCCTTAGTGACTAGGCTGAAGCTGACGTGCCGCATGCCACGCTTGAGCAGGGACCGTGGGTCCTTCCCCACGAGCAGGGTGTCATCCCAGGAGGAGAACTTCTGCCTTGGCCCCACCAGCAGCCTGTTGGGGTCCTTGTCTTTGGAGCTGGCCCTGGACTGTTTGGCTCCCATCAGGTCTTCCTTTCCTCCTTCAAGGTTAGAAGTCTGTCCCGCCTGATCTCCCAAAGGTCAGACTGTGGTGGGCAGGGACAGTGTGGAGGTGAAGGCTGAATACGGCAAGGGGATTCTAACATGGAGAAAGCCTGTCTTGCCAGGCCTTGAGGATGGCCAAGGCAGAGCCCCGGGTGGCCGTGGGAGAGCTGTGCCTGTCCCTGGGGGCGCGTTGAGGTGGTTTCTCTCTGAGTGGACAGGCTGTAATGATATGCTTGTCTCTGAGGCTTCAGAGCAGATCTGCCTGATTCCCTCTGTGCGCCACAAGGCAGCTGTCACTGTCATTCTGCTTGGGTTCCATTGACCTGGTATGTGTGCGTGGGTTACGGGGCGCTTTCATATAACTTTACTCTCCAGGCTCTTCTTCGGTATCCAAGTTGAGCGGGGCGATTAGCAGACGCAGCTAGAAAAAGAAACAAGGGAGAAAAATACAGCTGGCCACACCAACACGGATCCCCTGGCTGAGGGAACTGATCCCCAGAGAGAGTGACAGTTGTGGCTTGCCTGGGCGCTATCAGTGGAGTTGGGTTTCCAGAGCCAAGGATTATCAGATGTTGTCACTGTGCCCACTGCGAATGTCAATGAACTGTGCTGGTGAAAATAAAACAGCAAAAGCAGCCTGGACACGTGGCCCTCACCCCAGGCAAAGGCACCTCTGAAAGCCAATTCTACCCTAAGTGTGCAGAGCTCATTGCTTATCTCCCAAAGTCCATATAATTGAAACCCTGACCCTTCAGAATATATTTAGTGACAAAGCCACATGAAGACCCAAGGAGAAGATGGATTTCTGTAAGACAAGGAAAGGCCTCCAGAGAGGCCAGCACCCGAGCTCAGCGTCCTGTCCTGAGATGTGTGAGAACAGCAAAGATCTGCGGTTGAGCTATGCCATCCAGGCAGCACTGGCAAGCTTATGTGCTTGGGTGAGGATCGATGGACACTTTGTGTAAGTGGAAAACGCGGAAAATACTAGCTATTTTTATGAATGGAAGGAGAGGGGCTAGCGAGGTGACGAATAGTTCTGAGGAAAGGCCTGGCGGTGTTGGTGATTGGCCTAGATGTGCATTGGCTCTTTCTGGCCCCATGCCAGCTAACCTATAACTGCTACTGCCCTGTGACCCTGACTCTGTCCAGCTGCCCAGGAGCCTGTATGTGGACCCCTGCACCTGCTGAGGGGCTTCTCAGGGAAGGGAGGGCAGCAGTGCTGAGGGATGCTGCTTCTCTCTGCTCCTGGAGTTGCAATATCTGACCTCAGTGCACGGACTCAGCCCCGAGATTCTTTGAAAGAGATACAGACTTTGGAAGTTCTTTGTATGAGAGATTGGGCGTTTGAGCTATTTGTGAGAGGGGGAAAAACAAACAAATAAACAATAGTGTGGCTAGGATTTTAGCCCAAGATTTGGGATTGAGCCATGTCTTGTCTTTGCAAATATCATAAAACAGTACAGAGCTGCTCTTTAGAAATAGCATTATTTCTTCTTTCCTTGCATGATCATGAGGCACTACGCTAAGGTGCTGCCTTGGCCTTGAGGACAAACAGGGGCCAGAGTGGCCACCTTTCCTTTTACTGCACTTCAACAACGCTTGTGGGCATTTCCTGACAGTCAGTGTTCATTGAATGTTAACTGTGTGGAGGCAGTGCACTGAACGGACCAGTGAAGAACAGGCATTTAAACTATTTCCATTTTGAAGAATGATGAAGCAAAGACGGAGGAAGGTCAGAACACTTTTGCAGAATCAACTTTCTGTCCAGGGTCAGGTGGATGGTCAGAAGCAGTTAATCCACCTCCATAGCCCAGGCAGGGAGCCACAAGAAGGCTCCAGGCTTAGCCCTGTAGAGACAGGATTAGTACGGAAAGGAGCACAGCTCCTTGTTTTCAAGTTTGGTGAAGAAGATCATTAATGCTGACTATGTAGCTACATCATATAAGTAACAGTTAGGCATTAACCCTGCACACTCTACCTACAATAAAAGCAAGAAGAGGAAAGAAAAAAAGGTGTGTGTGTGTGTGTGTGTGTGTGTGTGTGTGTGTGTTTCAGAATGCTTTAGTGAGAACAATTTAAACACTCTTTGTCCTGGGTCTCAGTTTCCTCATTGGTGAAGGGTGCTGTCTGCAGTGATTGCCCAGCCCGTTCTTGCTCCATGAATCTAATCCCCATAGCAGTGGAGACTTCTGTGGGAATGTGGAAACCCATTTCTAATGGTTTCTTTCCTCCACACTGTGACAAGACACCTAACGGAAGCAAGTAAATGGATGAGAGATTTTTATTTTAGCTCACGGTGTGAAAGAATTTATGGACACTCCTTCATGGTGGGAAGCCATGATGGAGTTCATGGCAGTGGGCCTATTTGGCAGGGACACCTCTGTTCACTGGACTAGAAGGCAGAGCACTGGAGTCAGGAGCAGAGGCAGCCTGTGAATTTAGAGTTTTGTCCCTGTGGCCTGACATTTGCCATCTAGATAAAATATCCCAAAGTTTCCACCATTTCTCCAAAACAGCTAAGAACCAAGTGTTTAAATGCATGAACCTGTGGGGCATATTTTAGATTCAAGCCATAATACCATTTAAACCTTGGTTGGAAAAAGCATGAAAAATTCAAAATTTTAGGGACTGTGCTAGTTAAATTTTGGTCAGTTGGCACAGACTTAAGTCATCTGAGAAGAAAGAACCTCAGTTGAGAAAACACCCTCATTAGAGATTCCCCTACAGGTAAATCTCTGGGGGGGGGGGGCGTTGTCTTGATTTATGATTGACATGAGAGGGCAGAGCCCACTGTGGGCAGTGTCATCCCAGCGCAGGTATTGCTGAGGCCTGTGAGAAAGCAAGGCAAGCCACGAAGAGGAAGCCAGGAAGTTGTGTCCTTCCATGGTCCCTGCCTTGAGTTCCTGCCCTGTCTCCCCTCCATGATGCAAGCTGTAAGACGAAAAAAACCAAATAAAGCCTTTCCTCCACAAGATGCTTTTGGTCATAGTGTCTTTATCACAGCATCAGAAAGCAAGGCAGGTCAGTGTTGTTGGCCTTGGCTTCGGGTAAAAAAATGTAGGGAGAACGGTGTTTCAGGATTCTCTACAGGGCCCACACATTTGGCTTTTCCCAAAAGAGACTTTTTAGAGGCTCCCTGGGTGGGTTTCAGCTCGAAAGAGACTTACAAGGAAGCGCTGCTGAACATTTTTTGAAATTCCAGGGCACATTCTGTAATGAGATTGTCTTCAAAGCCTAAGGAAGCCAAAGAGGCGTGCTGAGGACATCCTGCATTTTCAGGGCACTTCTGTAATATTCCAACTGATTATTGTTTTAACATATCAGAACCACCATTTTAAAAAAATCTGCAGTAAAATAAAACCAAAATGATTAGAGTGTAGAACGGCAGCTTATGTAAATGTGTGGAGCAATTTTCAAATTCAAAATAACAGAATGTCTATTTTAAAAAGTATCTCGGGGTCTGAGAGAACTCGCCCAAGAGTCAATGCACTTGCCCAGCAAGTCTGAGTTACAATTCCCAGAACCCACATGGTAAGGCGGGAGTGAGATTCTCCTGCATGTGTGACTTCTAAAACTACTGTAGTCCATCCTGCTGGGGCCTTGCTCCCACTGACCTCAGGGGCGTTAGTTTTACATCTTAGCAGTTCCATGGCGCTTCCCATTGCTTCCTTTCATGGTACCAAGCTTCCAGTGTGGACCACTGGAAAAGAAACCTCATCTGAAATACCACTGAAATCAGATTACTAATTTTTTTGGTAGGAGAACAGACTGGAGGCTGGGCAGGTGGCTCAGTCAGAAAAGAGCCTGCCATATAAGCTAAGACCCAAGTTTAGACCTCTGGCACCCATGGACATGCCAGGTGTAGAGGCCTGCATCTGTGACCCTGACTGAAGGCAGTACAGGAAGAACAATGAGCTCCGTAGTCAGTGAGAAGCCCTGACCCCAACTAAAGTGGATGCCTGGCTTGTCAGGTAGAGGTATATGCCATGCAAGCCTGACACCTGTGTGTGATTCTTCAGAGTCATGGAAAAGGTGTCAGAGTGCACATCTGTGGGAAGGGGGACAGCACATCTGGAAGAGAAGCTGCCTCAAGGCAGAAGGCAACAAATGACCCCACCTAAGATTGTCCTCTGACCTCCATAAACTGGTGTCCATGCATGTCTGCATGTCTGCACACACACACACACACACACACACGTACATACCTATGTATGTGACATATGAAGTCACACATACACTTCACATACACAAAGACACACACACACACAGAGAAGCAGACTGAAATGGTTATGCATAAGAAAAATGTCAGAAGATCAGGAGCCACAGCCACACATCGGCCCTGAGAGCCACTCAAAGTGCTCTTCTTGCCTCTGAGATTTGATTCCTCCTCATCTGTAAACTTTCTTCAAGGTCGGTCACACCCACAGCTGCGAAGTCTCACCCCTTTTACTCGCCTTTCGTGGACAGTAGATTAGATAGTATTCCCCGCTATGTCTGACATTTCTGTGTGTGCTGTGTGACACCCCTAAGACTTGCAGAGTTGGCACAACTCCGGTGAGTTTAAACGCTTGGACACTGGCTGCAGTTTGGCAGGAACAAAAAGCATGCTTATCACATAGCTACACACACACACACACACACACACACACACACACACACACACACACA